CATATAGAATTGGGTAATGAATTGGATATTATTGATTTTGAGACAGGATCTAATGTTACAGGAAACCATTGGTATTATTTAAAGAATTCAGGGGTATTGTTGGAATTTGCTTTGATACAATTTGCTTTACAAAAAGCGATTGAAAAAGGGTACATGCCTATTATTACACCTGATGTTGTAAGAAAAGATTTTAGTTATGCCTGTGGATTTCAACCACGAGAAAATGAATCTTCACAAAACTATTTTTTATCAACAGGCGAAGAAAACATTTCAACAAGTAACAATAATAATAATAGTGGTGGTAGCAGTAGTAAACATCACAATCAATTAATGCTAGCAGCTACAGCTGAAATACCATTAGCAGGGATTTTATACATATAAATAAAAAATTTCATTTTAATAATTTACAACAAAATTCCAATGCTTCGAAAAAAACTGATCCAAAAAACCAAATGAGAAATTATATCAAAATTATAATCGGTCATTCAGAGCATTAATCAAACCGAAAACAAAACTTGAGCAAAAAAAAAATTTTTTCATCAGAAATTATTATAATTTGGGCATACCAGACAAAGTGAACATTGTGTTTCAGAATTACAGGGATCAAAATTTCTAACAATAATATGTATTAGTATCATATGACTGAATTAGTACCTCTTTGCTGAAAATATATTAAATATTTGTTTTTACTTGATTGGAATCAAAAACAAGGTAAATAAACACACATAATCGTACTTTGTATTTGAACAATCACCAATTCACCATTAATTCATAACAACATATTGTTAAACACAATTTTATTTTTGTTTAAAAACAAATAATAAATATTTACAATATTTTCATCAGTAATAACATTTTTTAATTGGCCCTTTTTTTGGTTCTTGCTTCACTATGAGGTTTACAAAAACCCAAATCAATAGTGCCAAAACAAAAAATAAGTGCGTTATCTTTTCAAGGAAAACTCTAGTTTAAGTTATTATTATACAAAATTTAATTAATGAGGGATGCTTGAAGAGAACAAAGGACGGGTTCAAGCCATACCTGCCTGTCCCCGTCCTTTTCAAGTTTGGCCCATTAATACTAGAAAAGGTATGGATATTCTGCAAAATAATGTAAAAAAGGACGGTTAACTAACATGGAACAGGTGTGGCGTGGTGAAGGTGTAGAAACCCGTCCCCGTCCTTTTCTATTATTTCATGGGCAAATCTTGAAAAGGACGGGTAATTTTGTGCCATTACCACCCATCCCACTACTCCTTTTTATTATTCGCGGGCAAACAATGAAAAGAACAGGTGAAAGGTGTTTGTCATAATATAATTTTTTGTAAACAGGCTGCAAAATTGGACTATTATAATTTCCCGACTCTATTTATTCCAGCATAGTGGAGATTTGATTTCATGATTAAATAAAACATTGTATTAATATTAGTGAAAAATGCTCCTTTAAATATTCTTTTAATCTAGGACAGATTAATGTAGAAGAATTTGA